ATAGGTGAATGTCAACAGTGTTGGACTTCCCTCAACCTAAATCACAGGGTATGTTTAACACTTGTCACATTTGATGATACCATGTAAATTGCTAGAAACGTGTGAAGTGTATAGCTAACCCAATAACAAAAGTTTCATGACGGGATTGGAATCTTGCTTAAAGTTAATTTTTAGATCAAGAGTTGTGTCATGAATCAAAATCCTAATTTTTTGAATCGTGAATAGAATAAAATTGAATCGAGATTTGTTAAGATTCAATACCAAAAAAAAAATTGATGTTAAACAATAGTATATTTGAAAAAACTGAAATAAATTAATTTCGACACATGTTATAAAATAGTTCTTATATAAGGACATGATTACACTATCTGATTGGGAAGACACTGTTTTCATAGTAAGAGATGTGGATCTAAATCCCACCAACCAAAAAATTATTAAAAATCCACAGTATAATCTTTGTTAACCTTCAAAAAGTGGAACTAGGAACACTAATAACCTGTATAGAGTATAATAAGAAGAAAGAATTAAGTGAAATCCTTTATCTTAAAACCTAAAACACTTTAAACGGAGCGTATACCTATTGTTCCAAAAAAGTTATATAAACAAATATATTGTAGAACCATTGGGTTTGATTGACCTAACCAATGTAATATTAAATCATATTTATTTCAATTAAATAGCAATAGATAATTCATGGATGCAAGTTACTTTAACCTTAATCATCCTTAGAAGATGTATTGCGACATTTTGTTGAAATAAATTTAAAACAAAATAAAGAGTAAGAATATGTTGGCTAGGTCTAACAAAATTTGATTGGATCTTATTAAAAACCCTCTTATAACTAAAATAACAATAAATCATGAGTAGGAATTAGTTATTTTCATACTAAACACTTTTAGAAGTTGAATTATGTGCTTTTTATTATAAAAATAAATAAATAAATGCAAAGAAAGGGTCAGAATCTATTGAAAACAATAGTTTCAATAATTGAATGAATCGTAAAAAGTTAATCGAATCGTAAATCAATTGTGAATCATGCTATTCACCATAGATTCTATCCCAAAATAGATTTACCTATAGATTTGTATCAATCTACACATGAATTGCGGATCGAATCGAGAATCAAATAACGAATCATAAGATTCACTGAGAACAACTCAGAACAGATCATTTAGATGCATTGGATTACATATGATATCATCATGTATGAATCACTATTATGGTAAACTTCAGTTCCCCAATACTTTCCCTTATCATAAGTTGCACTAGTGTCGCTTGATCTCATGGCCTACTAACATCATACATCCTTTGTCATTTCATCCTCTCTCTCTCTCTCTCTCTCTCTCTCTCTCTCTCTCTCTCACACACACACACACACAAAACACACAATTAAACCTATACAAAAATTATCACATAATATCAATAAACATACATCAATCAATAATATCAATCAATACATAATTCATTCTCTCTGTATCTCTTTCTATCAATTTATTTTACACTTAGGTTCAGCTCGCAGCCACCAATCAGATCAATTTTACATTCTCCACACAGTGATGGAGCTCTTTCTGCACATTTAAACTGGAGGGCCGGTAAACAGTGCAATCCTATATGATTACATACCATGATAGTGGCCCCAGTCATCGTTATTAGAATCTTGAGATTCACGATTCGATACGAGTTTCAACAAAAACGATTTGCTTCATGTTGTTGAGTTTTAAATTGAATGAATCATACGATTCAATTGCATTCACTACGATTCAATGTGATTCAATTCTGTTTGCATAACGTATCATAATGCCATTGTTTTTGCAATATAAAAAAAGAAACCAATTAATTGTATTGATTGATGTTAGGGTGTGGAATCTGGGTTCTTCAGGTGTCTTTTCATGTAAATCTTTCTTTGATAAGCTCATTGATAATCCTTCTATTTCCTTATTTCCTTATCATAAGAAAATTTGAAAAGTGGATGTCCCTTATAAAGTAAAGTTTTTCATGTGGTCTTTGACTCAAAAGGGTGTAACAACTAATGATATTTTCCAAAGGAGAAGGCCTAATTACTCTCTTTGTCCTCAATGGTGTGTGATGTGCAAGAGGAACTTGGAGGAAGCGGATCATCTATTTCTTCATTGCCCGATGGCTCGTGTATTATGGCAGCGGTTATTCAGCTTATGTGATGAGCAGTGGGTTGCTCCGCAGGACTGTATTCAGATGCTTCTTATTCGGTTTATAGGGTTTGGGAGAACCAAGACAGCCAAAACAATGTGGACATGTATTGTTTTTGCTATTTTTTGGGCTATATGGTTGGAGAGAAATGCTAGAATCTTTGATGACAAGAAAGCAAGTGTAGAGGCTTTGTGGGATAGGGTGAATTATTTGGTGTCTTTTTGGGCCTTTGTATCCCCTCCTTTTAAAGGAGTTCCCTTGTTTTTGGTCTCTAGGGCTTGGGCCGATGTTTGCCTTCCCTAGGGCTATGACTTTTTTGTTTTTGTTTCACTCTTTTTATTTCTTTCCTTGTATAAGGACTTCTTGTCCTTTTTCTCTTTTTATTTTTAATAAAATTTTGTTGTTGCTCTTTCAAAAAAAAAAAAATTGTATTGATTGATGTGATTTTATAAGTACATATACATATATACAATTTATGTATTGATATTAATTTCATTTAAAGGCTGTGTATTTTTATATGTCTATACATATATAAAACTATAAATTTATATTATGCTAAATAAAGTGAATCTTACAATTCACGATTCACGCTTCGATTCACGATTTGACAACAATGGCCCTAATAGACTTATCACCAAATATATACATATATATGCACATATATGATAGTGGTCCCAATATTGTCCTCTTATATAACCATTCAAAAATCCAAGCTTAGATCCTTATATTTTCAGAAATTCAATTAGAACACTAGAAGTAGAATACTTCTAAGCAGAGAAGCTCGAGTCTTCCAAGACATTCCCTATGTTTACATGAACTTGGATACATGTACCAAGCATAGGTGAATGTCAACAGTGTTGGACTTCCCTCAACCCAAATCATAGGGTATGTTTAACACTTGTCACATTTGATGATACCATGTAAATTGCTAGAAACATGTGAAGTGTATAGCTAACCCAATAACAAAAGTTTCATGACGGGATTTGAATCTTGCTTCAAGTTAATTTTTAAATCAAGAGTTGTGTCATGAATCAAAATCCTAATTTTTTGAATTGTGAATAGAATAAAATTGAATCGAGATTTGTTAAGATTCAATACCAAAAAAAAATTGATGTTAAACAATAGTATATTTGAAAAAACTGAAATAAATTAATTTAGACACATGTCATAAAATAGTTCTTCTATAAGGACATGATTACACTATCTGATTGGGAAGACACTGTTTTCATAGTAAGAGATGTGGATCTAAATCCCACCAACCAAAAAATTATTCAAAATCCACAGTATAATCTTTGTTAACCTTCAAAAAGTGGAACTAGGAACACTAACAACCTGTATAGAGTATAATAAGAAGAAAGAATTAAGTGAAATCCTTTATCTTAAAACCTAAAACACTTTAAACGGAGCGAATACCTATTGTTCCAAAAAAATATTGTAGAACCATTGGGTTTGATTGACCTAACCAATGTAATATTAAATCATATTTATTTCAATTAAATAGCAATAGATAATTCATGGATGCAAGTTACTTTAACCTTAATCATCCTTAGAAGATGTATTGCGACATTTTGTTGAAATAAATTTAAAACAAAATAAAGAGTAAGAATATGTTGGCTAGGTCTAACAAAATTTGATTGGATCTTATTAAAAACCCTCTTATAACTAAAATAACAATAAATCATGAGTAGGAATTAGTTATTTTCATACTAAACACTTTTAGAAGTTGAATTATGTGCTTTTTATTATAAAAATAAATAAATAAATGCAAAGAAAGGGTCAGAATCTATTGAAAACAATAGTTTCAATAATTGAATGAATCGTAAAAAGTTAATCGAATCGTAAATCAATTGTGAATCATGCTATTCACCATAGATTCTATCCCAAAATAGATTTACCTATAGATTTGTATCAATCTACACATGAATTGCGGATCGAATCGAGAATCAAATAACGAATCATAAGATTCACTGAGAACAACTCAGAACAGATCATTTAGATGCATTGGATTACATATGATATCATCATGTATGAATCACTATTATGGTAAACTTCAGTTCCCCAATACTTTCCCTTATCATAAGTTGCACTAGTGTCGCTTGATCTCATGGCCTACTAACATCATACATTCTTTGGCGTTTCATCCTCTCTCTCTCTCTCTCTCTCTCTCTCTCTCACACACACACACACACAAAACACACAATTAAACCTATACAAAAATTATCACACACGTACACAATTAAACCTACAAAAAAATTATCACATTGGATCATCACGGTCAAAAAGCACTAAAAACCTATCAGATTGAAATAAGGGTGATAAAATGCTCAATAAACAGTAGGATGCCATAGAAGATTCTAACTGTTGTGGACCTATGTTAGTTAGCTTGAAATTATTTGTCTTGTTTAGATTTGCTGACATAATTTGGTAAAAAACCAATTTAAATGGGAATTCCATTGAGATTTAGGCCCCATTTGGGGACTTACTTTTTTAGCTAATTAGCCAAAAAGTTACTAAATTAGCCAAAAAGCCAACAACTCATACCAAAAAGTCAAAGATTCTCTTTTCTCTCTACTTTTTGCACATCTTTTCATAATTAGCCAAAAAGTCATCCCAAACATACAAGTTTTTTTTACCTACCTTTTTAGCCAAATAGCCAAAAAGTTACAAAATTAGCCTGTTCCCAAACGAGGCCTTAGATGATTGGCTATGACTAAAGCAATTTGAGGGGGACATGGTGACAAATATATATTTTTATATACATGAAAACAAATAACAAGTTAAAAACCTGTTCATTTTTGCATCAAAAATATATTTTATATACATGAAAACAAATAACAAGTTAAAAACCTGTTCATTTTTGCATCAAAAATATATTTACATTTCATTATATCAAAACATAAGAAATCATTTTCCACATTTTATTCGTTAAACAAAGTGCAAATAGAATGTCTTAATCTCTATTTAAAAAAGTGAAAAATAAGAACTTTTTGGCCTGAAAAGGAGAAAAAAATAATAGGCATAAAGCCCCAAAATTTTAATTATAATCATTGGCCCTCAAATTATTTTCTTCAAAATTGCCCCAAGACCCACATGGTATAAGGTTATTCTAATGATATTGCCCAAAAGACCCATAATTTTAATAATTGGAACTAGTTATTTCTTAAATATTCTAGGATTTTGTTGGCGTGTGCCTTAGGTCACATGTTAAGAAGTTTAAAAAGATTGTATATTTTGAATGAAAGTGCATGCAATGCAATAAAGAATGTAAAATCTTTTCAAGTCATTTAACTTGTGCCCTAAGGGAACAAGTTAACAAGACCCATTATTTCTAATAAATTCACATCATATCATGATAGCAGTGGTATAATTTGGCTAAAAAAAAGGGTCCATGATCCCTTAAGAGAGTTCATAGCATGCCATCTTCTTAGTAAAGCTAAATTTTGATACACGATGTCAACTTACATATGGAGATAGCCTAGAGAGAGAGAGAGAGAGAGAGTGAGAATATAACTTCTCATTTCTCAGAATCTTCTTCACTACAGTTTTCTTAATGTGCAACGTCAAGGGGTTGGCTTGGTGGTTAAGGCTTGGGCCCTGGGAATGTGCTCCCTAGAAGGTGTCAGGTTCGAAACCTTCTATAAACAATTTCTTGGGGCCAGTCCATACCGAGTTTTGCCCTAGCTTTAATTGGGACCCCGTAAGTGGATGGTGGGATTGGTCCCCTGAATTCATCAACCCAATGGACCAAATACTGAGTTATCAAAAAAAAAAAAAAAACGGTTTTCTTGAATTGCAACTTTCTCTGTTCATCCATATGCCTTCATTTCAGCCAAAAGAATAAGAAGAGTGGGAAGCTAAGAAATCCACCTATTGCTCTAATCTTGCACGAGAGACTGCACCATTACCTAATTTTATCTAATTTAAAGTTCCTATTGATGTTTCTTGGTTTTACAAGCCCTTTAAAAAAACAAAAAGTAATTTAACTTAAAAGTAGCTCAAATTTAAAACAAACATGGCAGAAAATAAAATAATTTCTACCATCTTTAGTGAGTGTTTGGGAAGTGAGTTTTTATGTAGGTCTTTTTAGTTGTAGGATATTATTGGAGAAAATTTTTTTTGTGTTTAGGAAGATAGTTGGATTTTTTTGTGATTGGATATGATATTTGTGAGAGAAAAAGTGAAATGATTATGGGATTATATGTGATATTTTGTTTGGATGTGTTTTTTTTTATTTTGCAAAAAGTTTGTCTTTTTGTGAAAAAAATTAAAAAAAACCCAAGTTCAAGACTTCCCAAACACCACCTTAGTTTGAGCCAAATAGGGTACGCCCTACTTTCTAAAATTGAAAAGCAAAACTAAGAGTCACTTGAGCATGAAGATCCAATTCATTATCCCTCATGATTAATTAGAAAAGATAGAAAATATCATATACACTTCTCCCATTCAAAATCACTAACTTAACCTCGGGTATTTTTTTGTCATTGCAAATTAAACAACTTTTGGCATCCAGAATTTCCACTGACTTGTAGCACAAAACTTGGATACTCCCATCACACCATGTGTCATTGCTTATGTGTCCAAACCAATGGGTAGCGGAAAATCTGGCAGTTCGAAAGTAGATTGGGAGACTAGGGATGACCCACTTAGTGTGAATTGCAGTTTCCCATTTTCCGGGGACCGCCGCCTAGGCACCACATGGTACTCCAAGATTATCTAATAATTTTCCCAAAACTTCAAGAGACTAAACTAGGATAAAAGATGCATACTTACAGAAGCAGAAATGCTAAGCTTTGCAAATTACACACACACACACACACACACAGAGATCAATTACAAGCTTATAGAATGCAACACCAATATAAAAATCCCCAAAACCAAAGAGACTCAATTGTAGAGTTTATAGAATCAAAAATCAGAGCAAAACTTCCTAAACACCAAAGAAAATAAAATTGGGGGAATTACAAACACACAGACTACAAATGAAATTTCAATTTCATTTGAGACCCAATTGTGTTTGTGTGTATACCTTCTTTCTGACTGCAGAGGAGTTAGAAGAGAGAGAAGAGATGGAGATGGGAAGAAGCTTGGAGAGCAAAGTCTGGAGCTTGGAATCGTCACAGAGTGCCAATCGAGTCAGCATCCGATCCAGCATTTCTTCCATATCTGCATCCGATTTCTCAGTGACCATAGGAACCTGACCTGACGACGATGATTCCGCCATTTTTGTGCTTTTTTTTTTTATCTTCAGACGAAACAGAGACCGCCAAGAGAAGGCGTTGTGAGCAAGTCTTCTTGCTTCGGCAATGACCGCAATTTGCAAGTGCGTTTAAAAGGTTTGTGAACCGATTCTATTTTAACCCAAAATATGTGTTAAGCCTTATCTCCAAATATAATTTAGGCTAAAAGTTTGACATCCTTTGAAAAAGTTAAAATGTCACTATCCTATTTAAGTTATATCATATTATTTAAGTCACATTATTTTTTATTACATCATTTTAAATCCAACTTATATTTCATAAAAAATTAAAAAGTACATTTATTTAGAAAATTCTAAACAACTACTAATAAATATAATATATATTGACTTTTAAAATATATATATTTTTTCATGATATACCTTAATTAATTATTTCGATTTAAATTTTTATATCTTCTATTCAAATTTTTGTATCTTTTTTTCTAAGAGATTAAAGTTTTTTTTTTTTCTTGTTCTTCTTCACTCCAATCCTCTCTATCAAAACTCACCATCATTGTCAACATCATTGTTTTTTATTATTTTGTAACCGTAACCCTAGAAGAAAGTTTGAACAAAATTAAATAATGAATGATAGTAATAATTAAAATAATTTTTGAAAGCAACCCATCAAAAAGGAGGTAAGTATTCATATAAAGGGGTTTCACAATTTTTATAGAGTATCATCAATTATTTCCTATATTATTTTTTGACAAAAATTAAAGGATACAACAATTAAATTAATAATAAGATATTATTGGAATTGTTTTTATTTTATCATTTAAATAGTGCATTATTTGAGAACTACTCTTTCTTGTTAGTGTCGGATACTTATATACTTATAAGTTTGGTTTTTACTTTTCAACGAGCATTCTTGTGGATAATTTATAATGTAAAAGTTTTTTTCTGTATTAAAAAGTTTTATAATGCTTATCTAAAAGTTTGGTTTTTTTTTTTTTTTTTTTTTTTTTTGGTGGTATTTATAATGCTTATGTGCTTATAAGTTTGGGGGGTTTTTTTTTCTATATTTGAGAATTATTTTCTGCATTGAAAAGATTTGAAATAATTTAGTTTTTTTTTAATTTGTTTATTATTTATTATTTGGGTTTACCTTGAGAGTAATTTGAAAAAAATAATAGGGTGTAATGAGAGTAAAATAAAATTTTAAATAATTAAATAGAGTGTCCTTAGAGCATCTCCAACGGTTCATCTAATGTTTCATCAAATTTGAGTCAAAAAATAACCATTTCCTCAATTTGATACTTCATGCTCCAACGGTTCATCAAATTCAGTATCAAATCCTGTGGGTCGACTTCTGTATCAAATCCTGTGGGTCGACTGGTTGGTCGACCGATAACTATAAATATATATATATATATATATTTGCTTGCAGGTGGGTGACTCTTGTGGACATAATTTACAAATTTGTGGGATTATGGAAATTCATCAATTGTTTTGTTTGCAGGTGGGTGACTCTTCAGGTGGGAATATGGAAATTCCGCTGTTTTGTCTTCATCCTTCCCAATTCATCCAAAGACTCTGAATCCATACGCTGTTTTGTTTGCAGGTGGGTGACCGGTTGGTTGACCGGCCGGTCGACCGGGTAGGCAAAAATATTTATTTATTTATTTATTTTTACCTATTTGAACCTTTTTTGACCGGTTTGAACCTACCTAATTTAAAGGAAACCGGGCGACCGGTTGGTCAACCGACCGGGCAACCGGTTGGTTGACCGGTGTACCACTTTCAACGGTCAGTAACAGTGATTTGGTAAAATCTGTGTCTTGATCTCAGTTTGATGTCTTGTTTGCTGAATTCTCATTTTGGTATGACTTTGGTGCAACCGTTGGAGCGTGAAAAAGTGGGTTTTTCATCAAAATTTAAATCTGATGCTGGGTTTGGTTCAGCGTTGGAGATGGTCTTAGATGATTGCATCAGATTCCTAATCTATATGAGTATCTCCAATTCTATTAGGCATTTTAACTATTTAAAAATTACTATAATGTAAATATTTTATTTTTCCTATATTCTTTTTCACATTTTCGCTCCAATTATGTTTTTTCTATTTTAACTATTCATTCAAATACTAATAACTTTATAAAGTGTCACAACAACAACAAAAAAAGAGAAAAATATTAGAAGGGTCAAATAGATTTTACTTAACCTTTATAGGCTAGTTGTATATAGCTAATGAATATGAGTTGAGACAAAATATTTAATCATAATATATTAGAGTTGAAAAAAATCAATTATACTAAACATTTTAACTAAGGGACATTATATGTTGTACGTAACGATGATGAAAAATTCTACAAAACAATTATTGGCCCCGTTTGGTGTAGCTGTTAAAACAGTTTATAGATTATAGCTTAACAGATTATACATTATGACTTTAATCTGAAGTTGTTAATCTGTTTGGTGTAACTGTTGGATTATAAATTTAAGTTGCTGAGTAGTGTTTGTTAAATGAAATAGCTTTTTCAATTAATTTTTATTTTTTGTTTGTCTACATTTCTCATAAAAAATAATAATAATAATCTATAGTCCATTTGGGTCTTTTTCTATTTTTTAAAAAATAAAAAATAATAAAATTTAAGAGTATAACCATAAATTAACATGTCCACAGCAGAAGTTGATATTTTGGCTAATTACGAAAAGATGTGCAAAAAGTAGAGAGAAAAGAGAATCTTTGACTTTTTGGTATGGGTTGTTGGCTTTTTGGCTAATAGTAACTTTTTAGCTAATTGGCTAAAATAGCCTCTTGCCAAACGAGGCCTTAATATGATCTAACAATCTAAATTATTTTAATATCATTTAATGGCTAATAATTTATATATATATTCAATATTTTTATATATTTATATATATAATGCAGGTTTCAGATTGTTTGATATCTTTGCCCAAACTTGACCAAATTTAATTCGGACTTTTGAATTTTTGCTCAAACCCGTACTGAATTTAAAAATATTTTGACCAAACCCTAAAAAATTTCGAGCTGGACTCAAGTTGCTCGGGTTAAGTCTGCCCAAATTGCTCTAAATTCATCAGTTCTCACGGTTATATCAAAGTCATAGCATAATGGTTCATATCTTCTCAAGTCATATCAAAATCATATTAATAGGTATCATGTCATTAATCCATCACCATATTCCAAAGAAATTATAGTTCAAATTGTACACAATAGTTCCATATCACAATCAATTACAGTATGTTCCCGTGTCCGTTCATTCTAGCATAGTTCAAAAGGTTATGCATAATAGTTCATATGAAATTGTGTTAAGTACGGTGTAAAGGACTAATCTAGTAAATTCTCGTTGTTTACAAGTCCCAACAATTTCCATAGTATGGGTGATTTGTCAAGTTCAGAAAGTTTCAAAGCATCACACATATAATTTACATTAGGTAGTAAGCCTTCAAGATAGTCAATAACTAGAGTTCATAATTCTAATAATTCAATTAGTTCAATCAACACGCATCAATAATTTATCTTATGCAGCAAATTACACGAATTCCCAAATCTATTTTCACACAAACATTTTGTATATAATAAAGGCAATACCTGTGTCAGTTGTCTCAGTATTCTGAGCATTTTCTAAAACTAAGGTATAAATCCTTCCTTGTCTAAGATTACTCCCCTCTTGCATATAAATTGCATTTGTCCTTGGTGCCATTGCTAATCCAACCCCACTAGCAACAGGTCTATTATCGTTTAGGTGAGCTTGTGGACAAGATTTAGCCAAGTGTCCTTTTTTTCCGCATCTGTAACAGGCTCCAAATAGGCGGCGACGAATGCCCCAATGTTTTTTTCCACATTCTTTATACGTAGGTACATCATTGTTCCCATTGTTTCCCCAGCTTATATTGCCAAAAGTTCTTGGATTTGTTTTTTCATTTACAAAGGTCATTGAAGCATTAGTCTTTTCAACTTTTGGTTTCTATTGTTTCTTATTTTCCCATTCAGTTGATGATGTTGACTTTGATATTTTCAAGGTTGCTATGTTTGCCTCAGACATTAAGGCCCTATCAAGAACGTCCACGTGCTTTGTCAATTTCAAAATATTTACACGGTCACGCACATCAATATCTAATCTGCCCTCAAATTTTCTTGCCCTTTTATAATCAGTGTCTATCATATGGGGTGCGTATTAGGCTAGTTCAATAAATATTGCCTCATATTCAGCCATATTCACGTCACTTTGCTTAAGTTGTTCAAACTCAGATACTTTCCTATCTCAGATGCATTGGAGAAAATATTTTTCATAGAAAAGTTCTTTGAATCTGTCCCATGTCATACTTTCATTATCATTTTGTACTAACATCCACTATCTCCTGGCTTCTTCTTTAAGTATAAATGTTACTAACAAAACTTTCTATACCTCAGTACACAAAAATACTTCAAATATTTTCTCAGTTTCAAAAACCCAAGCCTCGGCTTTAAGTGGTTCAATACCCCATAGAAATTCTGGTGGCTTTATCTTACTGTATTTTTGTATCAAAGTTATCATATTATTATTCATTGGTTCAAGTTGTACTAGGGATGGCGGAGGAAGTAGGGGTGGTTGTCTTCGTTGCTGTTGTCTCATAGATTCGGTTAAGGCTTCAACCATTCTTTCTAGTCGATTAATTCTAGCATCAGAAGATTCAGATTCATCTACATTTCTTATTCCTTCTATTCGTCTATACGTAAGTAGAGACAATAGTAAACATAGGCAAATAGTTCTTACAGATTACATAACTTGTATGTGTAGCGCCCGACTTCCTCGGCGCGTCCCCCTTTTCGGAGAGGGCACGAATTGGTCTTACTGCTACAGTTCAATTTCCTGTCATGGTTCTGAATATAATCTCACAAAGTGTAATGTGAGACTGATAAACACCAAAGAGTCCAAATCTGGAAATTGGTTTTGAAAAATCAATTTTGAATCAAAAAGCGCCAACACATAGACTGCTTTGCCAGATTACAAAGTCGCCACCTAAATATTTTATTTTGGAAAATTTAGAAAACCTTGACTCATGCCAAAGGCCACGTGTCCGTCATCACCAAAGTTGCCTCGGCTCGAGACCTTGGGTACGAGAGGGGAAGGTCCTGAAATGAGCACCCCGC